CTGGGATAGGTTAAAATGAAGACAGGACACTCCAAAACCTATGGGATGCAGCTCAGAGGAAAATGTGTAGTTGTAAACCTCAATGTCGTTGGTAGGATTATGTGACTTTAAGTGAAACACGAATAATGAAACCGATTTCATCATGGGCTAATTGATATAAACAGGAGTGAACTTTCGACAGCATCTCATCGATGTTACAATGAAGGCACACCGAGTGATGATGTGCTGTACATATGAGAAGGAAGAAAGAATGTAAAGTCAGTAACCCAACCTTCCACTTCAAGAAACTAGAAAAAGAAGAGAAAATAAACTCAAAGCAAGCTGAAGGAAGGAAATACAGCGATTAGAGTGAAGACTTAAAAGCAAGGACTCAGCCCTAACCGGTTTGGCTCAGTGGATAGAGCATCGGCCTGCGGACTCAAGGGTCCCGGGTTCGATTCCAGCAAGGGCATGTACCTTGGTTGTGGACACATCCCCAGTGGGGAGTGTGCAGGAGGCAGCTGATCGATGTTTCTCTCTCATCGATGTTTCTAACTCTCTAACTCTCTATCCCTCTCCCTTCCTCTCTGTAATAAATAAATAAATAAATAAATAAAATATATATTTAAAAAAAAGCAAGAACTCAGAAAAATATTTGTACACCCATGTTCATTACAGCATTATTCACAATAGCCAAAAGGCGGAAGCATGCCACTTGTTCATTGATGAATAAATGGATAAGCAGAATGTGGTAATCACACACACACACACACACACACACACACGAATATTATCGCCCTGGCCGGATGGCTCAGTCGGTTGGAGCGTTGTCCCATGCACCAAAGGTTGTGGTTCAATCCCTGATCAGGGTGTGTACGGGAGGCAACCCATTGATGTTTCTCTCTCTCTCTCTCCCTCTCCCTTTCTCTCTAAAATCAATAAAAACTTATCCTCGGATAAGGATATAAAAATAAAGGAAGGAAGGAAATCTTGTCACATACTATATTGTGAATGAACCTTCGGGACATTATAAGTGAAATAAGTCAGTTACAAAAGAACAAATACTGTACGATTCCACTTAAAAGAGGTTCCTAGAGTAGTCAAGTTCACAGAGACAGAAAGTAAAATGGTGCAGGGGCTAGGGGAGAGAAAGAAAGGGAGTTATTGTTTAATGGGGACAGTTTTGCAAGATGAAAAGAGGTTTGTAGTTGGGTGACGTTGATGGTGGTACAACAATGTGAATGTACTTAATGCCACTGAACTATACACTTAAAAATGGTTAAGATGGTAAATTTTATTTATATGTATTTTGCCATAATTTTTAAAAGAATAAACTGAAAAGCAATGAAATAGAAAATAGAAAAATAATAAAGGAAAGTAACTAAACCCAATGTTGGTTCTTTGAAAAGTTCAATGAAATTGACAAAACTTTACCTAGCTCAGTGATGGCGAACCTATGACACGCGTGTCAGAGGTGACACACGAACTCATTTTTTTGGTTGATTTTTCTTTGTTAAATGGCATTTAAATATATAAAATAAATATCAAAAATATAAGTCTTTGTTTTACTTTGGTTGCAAATATCAAAAAATTTCTATATGTGACACGGCACCAGAGTTAAGTTAGGGTTTTTCAAAATGCTGACACGCTGAGCTCAAAAGGTTCGCCATCACTGACCTAGCTTGACCAAGGAAAAAAAAGAGAAAAGACTCAAATTACCAGAATCAGAGATGAAAGAGGGGGACATTAATACCAAGCTTACAGAGATAAGAAGAATTATAATAGAATAGTATGAACAACTGTATGTGTAGTTTGTGTCCTAGAAAGACACACACCAACTACAGAAACTGACTCCAGAAGAAATAGAAAATCTGAGTAGACCTGTAACAAGAGAAGAGATTGAACTAGTAATTTAAAAAACCTACCCACAAAAGAAAGCCCAAGCTCTGATGCTTTCATAGCTGAATGTCACCAAACAATTAAGAAAAAATTAATATTAATTCTTACAAAATCTTCCAGAAAAGAGAATGGAACACTTCCCAAATCAGGAACTGATGAATGAAACTTGAAAACAATATGCTAAGTGAAAGAATCTAGGCACAAAAACCACATAGTATATGATTCTATTCATATGAAACATCAAGAACTGGCAAATCTATACAGCCAGAAAGTAGATTAATGGTTTCCTAGGGGCTGGGGAACAGAGGGTGACAGCTAAAGAGTGTGAGGTTTCTTTTTGAGGTAACGAAAATGTTCTATAACTGAATCGTACACTTTAAATGGGTAAATTATATGGTCAGTAAATTATATCTCATTAGTTATTACCAAAATAAGCATTCCACTTTTAAATATTATATATTCTGAGATATTTATAATATTTTGCTTGAGCAAAGATTTCCAGGCCTTATAAAAGCCTTCTTCACACATCCCTCCATTCAGGAAGGTTTGCCCTCAGCACCTGCTATGTGTGATCTCTTGGGGGTCAGACAGCGAGGGGTACAGAGCTGAATCTAGCCCAGCACTGCTCCTGAGCTTGCGGTCAGGTGAGGAATGGGGAGCATCCAACCACATTCCAGCCTGCTGAAACACCTAGTACCTTGCCAGGGGGGCGCAGTGACCCATGGCAGAAAAACAGCACTAGCCAACGTTTATTAAGTGCCCACTGTGTGCCAGGCACTGTGCCAAGCACTTTCCATGCATTGTTCCACTGGACCCTCACAATCCTATGAGGTAGTGTCCTCATTAGCTTCATTTTACAATGATGAAATTGACGTTTCCAGCCTTTGCCCTCTACCTCTTGTGAAGAGTGGTGGGAGATCCTTGGGCCTGAAGGAGTCCCAGATAGAAGCAGGTTTGTGATGGGGCCAGAAGGGAGAAAATGAGGCTCCACAGGCCATGGGTGTCTCACCTGGTGGCCTGGGTGCTCAGGGGGCAAAGAGCACAGAGGTCCCAGGACTGGGTGCCCATATTCCCCGCCCTCTCCTCAGCACCTCACCTCCCTGGGGCTCTGTTTCTTCAGCTGTAAAATGGGGCTATTACTCCTAATTCTGCCAGAGTGTTAAGAGCCCTGCACAAGGTAAGTGAACACACTGCACAATCCACATAAAGGAAGAACCAGGTTAGCCCTGCACTGGCAAGAGAGGCGCTGAGGGCAGGGACACCCTGCCCACATTGAGAAGAGCTCTGGCCCTGTCTGGAGAGGGCAGTGCGATCTCACACACACACTCACACACACACACTCACACACACACACGCCCCTGCCCCAGCCCCCACCTCTGGCTCACCACCCGTTGCCTTGGGATAAGGGTCATGTTGTGGGAGGATCTGCTGCTCTTCTCCCATCAACCTGCCAGCCCCACTCAAGCCCTCCTTCTCCTGGAAGCCTTCCCAGGCTGAGCCCAGCGTGAGCACACCTCCTTGGCCCAGCGCCTGACTGTCACCACCTGGGGGGAGGGGATAAATTCCTGGATCCTCCAGATCAATGGTCCTGTGTAGTCCTTGACTCACACAAAGCATGAGGTAGCACAAGGCTAATAGGAGCACTTGGCACGCTGGGTAGCTGTGAGCACTCAACGCAATGATGCTGGAGGACCACTCATCACAGCGCCTGTGTCCTGCTCTGCCCCCTCCCAGGCTGCAGGCAGGGAGGGATGGAGGGCAGTTTGTGAGGTGTTGCTGTGCATGACTGAGAGCAGAGAACCCCTCTGCGGCGGGCTCAGCTGGGGAGGGCACTAGGGGTGCTGTCCATGGGTGGGCCACGGACACAACTCTGAAGACCAACGGGGTCCATAGTTGCTCCTTTGGCCCTGGTCCTACTTAGAGAGCCCCTGGAGGGTGGGGCCTCACCTTCTGCTGAGATCTCAGGCCAGAGCCCTGCTGACTCTATACTGAGGGGAAGACAGGCCCACGGGATGGAGAACGGCCACAGTGGGTCGGCTGCCCCCAACCAGGGAGGGCCTCTCTTGCCCGGGGTAGAGGGAGGCCAAGGTCCCTGACGTGAATCACAGGGAGGGGGTCTCACTACAATGCAGCTCTGGGAGGCCTGCGCGTCTGTGCTTTCACACGCTCCCAGGCCACACTGACTGTCCACGCCTGGCTGTGCTGGAAGCAGCGGGGACAGAAAGCATGGCACGGCCACTGTGAGGGGAGTGCTGAGCAAGAAGCACATCGCAGCCTCCCGGTCCTTCGGGGACCGGCCCCACCCAGCCATGCCCTCGGCTTCCAACATCTGGAGGGTGAGACAGCATGGGTTTTCTGAGTTTACAGGATTCCATTTCCATTACATACACAAAATAAGTAGTACCACATCATAAAAACACTGGAAAATATGAAAAAATAATAGGGGAAAATCGCTGATAATCTCGCACCGCATTTAAAGCAACTGTTGACCTCTCTCCCCAGGATTCCGGCTCACCTCGTGGGTGGGAGCTGCCCCAGCGCCCCACCCCGTCTCGGCTAAGCATTCGGTGAGAGACCCCCAATCTCCTACTCCCCTTTCCTCCCCCCACAGTGCCTTCCCCAGCCCCATGGTGGGGCAGCCCCCTCCGCGCTGCAGGCAGCAGGCTGAGGAGGAAGCCTGGTGCAGAGCAGGCAGAGGTGGGTCTGGGGGAGGGGCGCACATCTGGATTCCTGGCCCAGAGCCCGCATTCCTTCCCTGTGAGTGCGAGGAGATGGGGTCTCAGGGGAGAGCTGTGAGGAGGCTGCTGGCCCCTGTCCCACCTCACGCCTCACAGTAACAAGACCCGCCCTGGCAGGAAGACGGGTAGGGACTTGAAGGTCCAAAACCTCATTTTGGGGTCCCCCACCCAGCCTGCTGCCTTACTGTACAGGTCCGCGCTGGGCCTCTGCCCCGCTCACACCAGCCAGGCTTCCTCAGGAATACCAGGGGGGACAAGAAGGTAGAGACCAGAGGGGGCCAGGGCCCCCTGCTCCGGGAAGGGGGCAGAGCGGGGCTGCCCGTCCACAGAAGCTGCCCACAGGGCAGCAGGGGTCCAGAGCCGCACCGGGCCAGGCTGCCTTACCTGGGGGCAGTCCTTGATGTAGTGTCCTTTGTTGAAACACAGGTGGCACAGGTAGTTGGGCGGGGGCCTCTTGCTGGGCTTCCGGGTCTCAGAGGTCAGGGTCAGGTCGGAGAAGTGCTCGGTGAGGGAGCTGAGGCCGTCGGCGATGTTGTTGAGGGAGCCGTAGGGCGAGGTGCTCTTGTACACGCTGCTGCTCAGGGCCTGTGGGGACAGAGGCTGTGAGGGCCCAGAGGCCTGACACACTCAGCCACAGCCATGACTTCAGGGACATTTCCTGTTGGGCGCGCGCGCGCGCACACACACACACACACACACACACACACACACACGAATTCACAATGACCCCGATGCCCACGGGCTCTGGCCTCCTGGAGCTTGGGTTCAAATCCAAATCTAGTCGTGGACCCATGGGCAAGCCAGTTAGCCACTCTGGGCCACAGTGGCCCGTCTGGAAAACGGGAAGAATGATACCTGTCTCCTAGGGTTTCTGTAAGATAACGGAAGTCACAAACGTATAGCACGCGTCTCCCGCCCGGCACTCGCATCTGCTCGGTTGGTAGAGGGCGGTGATGCCGATGACAGTGCGAGTTATTTTTCCCATTAGTCCTTCTCCAGCCACTGCCAGGAGATACGCCGGTCAGCAAGAACCACCTGCTGGGTTAGGGGCTCTGCCACTCACTGGTGGAGGGACTGGGGACACGTCCCTTATGTCAGAGCTGACTCAGTTTCCTCCACTTGTAAGGAAGCAGAACGCCGGGGCAGCCTGGTTTCCACTGAGCAGAGAGCAGCGTGAGAGCCAGCGCTTGCCGGGTCTCCGGCAGCACAAGGCCTGTGCAGACTGTGTCCGGGGAGCCCTGGGCCCGGCCCGGCCGGCTGTCTGGGAGCCCAGGGAGGAAGTGGCCACCTCTCCCACCTCTCTCACCTCTCCCACCTCCAGCTGACAGGAACCAGATGTCTCGCCTGGCTTCAAAGCAGACGAGGCCCAGGCCCCCTCCTGCTGTATACACCCTCTATTTATAGGAGTCCCCGGCTCCCTGGCCAGGCACACTGGAATTTGGTGAAGGTGGGGCCTGCGGTGAGGCCATGGCTCCCTTTCCTGGGTCAAAGCCAAGGCTGGGAAGAAGCAACTTTCTCAGGAGGGTCAGTGACAGGCCTGGGCATGGGCATGGGCATGGGCACCCTGACCCCAGCCCGAGAACTCCGGGAGTGAACAGTGGCCTTGGGGGGCTGTGGGTCTAATGGAGAGACACGGCCTTGTTCTCAGGAGTCCCCAGGCTGATGGGTGAGGAGAGGCCCTGAGAGGAAGTTGCCTCCGGCTCCCTTACAAAGATGGGACAGACAGCGGCCCAGGGTGGCGACGGTCCTTTCTGTGTCCCCTCAGTGTGAGAAGGGGAAGGAGGTGAGCTGAGAGCCTGCCCCAAGGGAGCAGGCACCCCCACAACCAGGACAAACCCCACCGCTCACACATGTCCGCCTCAGTCTCCCTACTTGTTCTGTCTCTGGGGTCTGGACTCCCCTTCTAGAGGACACAGCCCCCACCATCTGGGTGCTACACTCTTCTGGGGCCCCCCCAAACCCCCTGCTTTGTGACTGCGGCCTGCCCTCCCCTCTCAGCCTGTTCCCTCGGGCAGGTGTGCCCTGGAGCCTAGGCCTGGAAGGGAGACACAGACCATGTCCAGGGCAACCCAGGCCCAACACAGTCACCTCCAGCCACTGGGCACAGAACTCGAAGGCTCCCAATGGCCATCTCTGCTCTGCCACTGCCCAGTGCTACCATGCCACCGTGGACCAGTGGAAGATACCACACAAACCCGCAGGTCTGAGGGCAACTCTCCAGCCCTCAGATGGCCCACGATGGGGTGGTCCACCCTGAGAAACGGAAGGTCCCCATCCCTGGATGGGTGGGAGCCAGGACTGAACAGCCTTGGGGGTGTGGGAGGGCTCTGGTGGGAATGAGATGAGATGATAACTGAGCATCTACTTTGTACCAAGGCCTGCAAACTTGACACATGTTAAGACAGCTGATGCTCACAACCCGATGAGTCATTGTCTCCCTTTGTGCAGATTAGATGAGTATGTTCCAACTTGTATTGAATGGCCTGGGAAACTTAACAAATACAGTTTTCTGGGCCCTGCTTCAAACCTAGAACGCAGCCACCTGGGGACCTGGACTCTGCTGTTGTTATTGTGCTAAACGATACATACAGAACGTCTATCATTTTGGCAATTCTTTTTTTAAAATATATTTTTATTTATTTCAGAGAGAGAAAGGGAGAGGGAGAGAGAGATAGATGGGAGAGAATCATTGATTGGCTGCCTCCTACACGCCCCCTACTGGGGATTGAGCCTGCAACCCAGGCATGTGCCCTGACAGGGAATCGAACCGCGACCTCTTTGTTCACAGGTCAATGCTCAGCCACTGAGCTATGCTGGCTGGGCTTGAATCTGCATTTTTAAAGCTCCCCCAGGCAGTTCAGTACAACCAGCCCCACGTCACCTGGAGGAGCACCTGAACTTTCCAACTGTCAGGTCTCTCCTGAGGTGGACTCTAGGCCTCTCCTCACCCACTGGCCTGAGGCAGGGCAGCTCGGCCCAGCCTCCCAGAGAAAAGTTCATCCAAACAGAAACTCGAAGCTCCAAATGCGTGAGTCACCCTCACGGCTGGGAAATGCAATTTCACAAATAACAACCCTCTTTCCCCCCTTTTCTTTTCCTTTTCTTTTCTGGATGAGATTTAAGCAAGTCCACAGGCATCAGGACTGTTTTGGCAGCAAGTCGTCGAGAGGAAGGGGAAGCGTGGTGGGTGCCAGAGAGTGCACAAAGTCCCCCCCGCAAACCTTTCCCTTGTCTGTGGGCACGCGCCCCTGCCCATGGCCCTGCTGCTATCCCTGGGCAGCCTGAGGCCTCTGAGCAGCCTGCCCTCTCACTGGCAGCTCGACACCCACGAGGGTCACACTTTGCCCGTCACAAAAGCTGCTCCTGGTCAGAGGGCAAGCCAGAGTCCTCTCCTCACTGCTCCTCCCGCCCAAGCTCCGGGCTCTGGCCTGTCCCTCACGGTGCTCCAGCCCAAGTCAAGATGGTACCTTGGAGCTGGAAGGAGAGGTGAGCTGACACAGCCTCACCCTCACAGATGCACACGGCCAGCCCAAGGGCCAGGAGGCCTGCCTGTCAATGTCGCAAGCGTGGGTGGGGCGGCAAACTGTTTCCTCTCCAAAGTCCCAGGAGGAGCTCGGGCCATGGAGGCGAAAGGTGAGTCGGCCTGGCGGCCTGTGGCGACTGGATGGAGAGGAGGCCAGGACGCCGCTTCCTCCCTTCTGGGTGCGGAGCCCGGCCTGACCTCCGGGTTTCCCATGTGCGAGATGTGAAACGGAGCAGCGGCGGTGGGCAGGCCTGACAGTCCCTGCAGCCTCACTCTCTTAAGGTCCGACACCAGGAGCTGACAGATACCCCCGGGGCCCAGCGTGCAGACAGCACTCAGCCTGGCCTAGGCCCTGCCCTCTAAGGCCGAGGGCAAGGCTGGGCCGCCCTCCCTGCATCCGTCAGCCCCGCATTCGGCAACAGCCGGGCTGCTCCTCTCTGCGTCCCACGGAGCAGCTGCTTTCCCACCTCTGGTTCTGCACTTTCCCGCCCCCGGAGGCCCCTCTGTGCCCATCCAAACCTCCTTCAGGACCCGGCTCCTGACCAGGTTCTAACCCAGTGGTGGGGCCTGAAAGCCACCCCTTCCTCTCACTCAGGCCTCGGGTCAGTGTGAAAAGCCCAGATTCAGGTGCTCCCGAGGCGACACTAGTCACAGAGGCCCCAGCCTCCTCCGGGGGCTCCTGGGCCTCCCTGCCATAGCCCTGCCCCTCAATGCTACAGGTGTGGGTAGGAGCACCCATGACCCCCTTGCCCTTGCCTGGAGGAGCTCTGAGTCTCTCTGATCTCTTTGCAAGGTGATGCCTTCTCATGTCTCCACAAGGTCAGACATCCCTGAAGGCAAATCCTGCAACCCTTGTCCCTCCAGAGCCCAGACGGTTGGGCTGCTCCTTACACCGGGACGGTCCTGGGTGCCAACCACCACAGGCAGGGGAGGGCCTGGGAGTCCCACTTGACAGGAGAGGGAATGGATGCCTTAACACCTTGAAGGGTTTAGGTTGAGGGCTCTGAGTTCCTGTGGACTAAGTCGCAGGGCGGTCTCACCCCAGATTCAGCTGCTCTGGGCACTGGTTGGGAGCAGCCCCTAGTGCAGTGATAGCGAACCTTTTGAGCTCGGCATGTCAGCATTTTGAAAAACCCTAACTTAACTCTGGTGCCGTGTCACATATAGAAATTTTTTGATATTTGCAACCATAGTAAAACAAAGACTTATATTTTTGATATTTATTTTATATATTTAAATGCCATTTAACAAAGAAAAATCAACCAAAAAAAATGAGTTCGCGTGTCACCTCTGACAAGCGTGTCATAGGTTCGCCATCACTGCCTTAGACAGTGGTTCTCAACCTTCTGGCCCTTTAAATACAGTTCCTCATCATAGGTTCACCATCACTGCCCTAGTGTGATGGGTGGAAGCCTCTGGGCCATCAAGGCCCTAATCGCCAGCCTGGGAGGGGGAGCCATTGTCCTTCCTCCCTGGGTCAGCGGCCCAAGCAGCCAGCAGGAAGAGAGGGGTCCTCACACCACCCTGGGGGACAGAGTCAGGCTCCTGCCCGTTGCTGGAACTTCTCCGAGGTCTGGCCTGGCTGCTGGGGAACGTTAGGTGGGAAGACATCCTGCTTGTGTCACATACTAGACTAGAAGCTCTCCCGTTCTCAGTCCTCGGCATTTATTTTACTGAACTGGAAACTGAGGTTCAGCAACTTGCCCAAGCACATGGACGGCTGAGAGGAGACTCATACACATGCAGGTCTGGTGGCCTGTCCTACGTCAGCCACCACTCGGCCTCCAAGGCTTGGCTTCCCCGCCGGGAAGGGGAGCCAGAGGGAAGTGCCAGGTGTGAACCACTCTTTTTGGCACAGAGGCCTCCTGACATCATATTGCCGAGCCCCTGGGCACTGGCAAGATGAGGCACCAGCTTTTTTGGGCTACATGAGGGATCTGGGCCCTGGGGTTGGGGTTCTGCTGAGGGATTTGGGGTAGAGATTTCCAGGGCTGACTCAGCCTGCCAAGCTGTGCTCCCTCTCTCCTCCCCACACCAGGACAGCAAGAGGGCGAAGTAGGTG